AGACATTGCTGCAAAAGAGAGGTTGAACTAACCAGGTGTCATCAAGCTGAAGTCAAGCCGACTGAAGAAGTTTATGATGATGAAGTGGAACCAAATATAGATATCAAAGCAGAACAAGAGAAAGACAAAGATTTGAAGCCAATAATTAATTTTCTAAAAGCGAGTGTTGTGTGCCCTCTTTGGGAGAAGGTGTCTAGTCTAAGCCCTGTGACAAAGCACTATTGGGCACAATGGGACCAGTTGAAGCTTGAAAATGGTATTCTTGTCCGGAGATGGGAAACTGCAGATGGGAAAGTGACGACCTGGTAAACAGTTATACCGAGAAAGTTACGGGAAGTTGTGCTGCGTCAATCCCATGATAATTTAACAGGAGGACATCTTGGAATTAGGAAGACATTGAGTCATCTACGACAAAGATTTTATTAGATAAGTATGAGGCGAGATGTGGAAGAATGGTGCAGAACATTCAGTACATGTAGTGCTAAAAGGGGACCCAAGCATAAGGGATGCCCACCTTATGAAGAGTTGCCTGAGAATGTGTCAGAGTTTGTGAAAGTGTTATCGGAAAGGATGGATGATATTTACCATCAAGTGTGTTCAAACTTGAAAACGTCTGCTGATTCAATGAAGTTAACTTATGATAAGAAATCACCTGAAGTCAGCTTTGTACCAGGAGACAAGGTATGGTTGTATAATCCCAAGAAGACCAAAGGGAAGTCTCCTAAGTTGTCTTCTCCATGGGAAGGCCCATATGACATAGTGGATCGTCTCTCAGACGTGACTTTCCGGATAAAATGTGGTCGGCGAGGTAAGCCAAAAGTGGTGCATGCCAACAGGCTTTGGCGTTATCACGGTCGAGGACATTTGAGTTGGGACAAAGTGAACAAAGGAACAAATGACGCTGCTGAAGAAGTGTCACCTGAAAAAGCCAATGTCGAAGAAGAAACTCTACTCAGTCTTGAGAAGGGAAACGATGAAGCTCTTGATGAAGTTACTACCACTGATGTGACTGTCACCGATGATAGGACATTTACTGATGAAGCAGATGAACCCCACATGAAGCAGAAGCCAACGAGACGGAGACCAGTACGGAAGAAGATACGTCCGTAAAATTAAGAGACTTTGTTGAATTGTAATTTTGTGATTGTAATTCTGTACATTTAATTAAGTTATTGTTAATTGTTATTGGTTTATTGTATGTGGCTATTGTTCGGGATAGTCACGTGACCTCGCTGACGCAACACTGCCCCTCCTTAGTATTGTTCGGTGTCACGCCACG